ATTTCCAACTGTCCAAAACAGGGCCCCATTGATGTCTCGACCTGTCCTCAACGGCTTGAACAGTGGCTCTCTCCGTACCAGGCTAAGCAGTGTCTGGACTCTGGATGCCTTCACCTCTGAACCTGACTGCCTCTCCGTTGGCAGTGGATCAAGAGATTTTGTATGTACAGTATCTATCACCTCACTGCAGATGCCCACTAAGATCCCCAGCTCGTGAAGCTTGGCTACTAGTGATTTTTCCATCCTTTATTTTATTATCCATCAAAATTCCTTCATCTTTTTGTATGGTTCTTGCTGCATGGCCCACCATGGAGAAACTTTGGAGACTTGCACCTTGTGAACTGCCCGGAATAGCAGCGAATGGGAACAAGGCCCCTTTTCCCCCGTCCTCAAAGTGGAGAGAATGTGCAAGAATCCCACACGCTCCTCCGCGAATGCTGCTCTCTCTCTCATGAATTTCACCAACGTAACTTTGACATCTTTCTTTCTTCTAACGTATTCGACGTTTCTCACCTTCGTCTTCGTTCATCTTGTCATTCTCTCCATTCATATGATATCTTCACCCTCGATTATATCAATGAATGTTAACTAATGTACAATTTATACATATTGGGAGAATATTATCTTCGATTTATGACGACAATAAATATGCCTTAAAAATATCTTTCATTAAATTGTATTATATTCTTTAGTTAGCTAATATTTATTAATTAAGAGATATATATATACTTGTTAGTTGGTGATCCAATAGTTCCAGAGGTGACAAAGTCTCCTTGTTGTCATGGATTCGATTCTACTAGTAGGTGTCACCTTGTTGTCATGTATTCGATTCTACTAGTGGAGAAGAGGAAACACAATTAATTGTGTGATTAAAGACTAATTTTGTTGTTAGATATGATTTTTGTAGATAATTTTTAGATGTAAATTATCAACCGTAACGTTTCAAATGGTGGTTGTTTCAAATGGTGGTTTCACTCACGTTCCTTCCGCCCAGAAACATATATCACAATCTCTTTTTTTTCCCTAAACAATATATGGAGTAATATGATTGTTAACGTAGACGTGAGGGAGAGAGGAAAACATGCGGCGGTTGGGGGGAGATGGGACAGTGACTGAGTGGATGGGTCACCTCCTCAAGATATGTGTGTCTTTGCTTCACGCAATCTGCTTTGCTCTCTCTCTCCCTCCCCTATAAATATACATATATATATATACATATGTTTGTGTGTGTATACGTCAATTGTCGTTTGTGTTGCATCCTTTGATGAAAGACATAGTTCATAAAGTACCGACACAAGACGTTTGTAAACCAAAATTATAAAGAAAAAAAGACAGACACAACACCAAGACGTTTAACTTAACCAAAAAAAGCAAGGTGATTCTTTTTCTATATATGCATATTGGATAATCCAAACCAACTCTTTCTATATATATATATATGGGATAACGTTAAATTAAGCATTAAAATATTTGATGCATGTATTGGATACTGTTTAAAAAAGTTAATAACCGTGGCTGAGTGGAAATAATTAAGGAAAAGGAGATGTGCAAGGATTTACTTATCTGTCTGCTATTAACAATAATATAGTAAAGAAAAAAAGAGAGAGTAGAGGTTTAGAAAGAGTAATCATTGTAAATGACCCACCACGAAAAGCAATGCATATATAGAAGACAATAATTAAATAACGAAGTAAAATCCATGCAACACACACATATAAACAAAAACAACATCTCCAACTGAACAAGGAGAGATGAGCGGGAGAGGCGTGCAAGTATCTGAGGAGGAAGTGCGTGGAAGGATGCGTCTTCGCTCCTTACTTCGACTCGGAGGACGGGACCTCTCTTTTCGCGGCGGTCCACAAAGTGTTCGGAGCCAGCAATGCCACCAAACTCCTCTCTCCCATCCCTCCTAGCCTCCGGCTCGACGCCATCCTCACTCTCTCCTACGAGGCCACGGCCAGGGTTCGCGACCCCGTCTTCGGCTGCGTCTCCCATATCTTCTCCCTTCACCAACAGGTTCCCTCTCTAACTTTTCCATTATATATAAAACCTAGGGTTTTACTCTACAATTTGCATGCATGCATTTCTTCTCCTCCTCCTTGTTGTTTAACATTCCCTGACCCTTTTATACGCCTTGTTACTCTCGAACTACAATTACCTTTTTCTATAATAAAAAAAAAGATTCCTCTTGTACATTTTCCAAAGGGTTTTGAATAATGTATTTAATCAGTATATGCATGCATATTAATTATACTGAATTGTTTGATACAAATATATGATTTATTAGATGATAGCGCTAGATTAAGTTGTGAATCTTTGTGTGTTTAATCATATGAAAACAGGTGGTGAACCTGCAGGCGGAATTAGCGTACGTGCAAGCGCGTCTATCAGCCGTGCAAGGCCTTCCACCCCCACCGCCGGCGCCGGAAGCATCGTCTGAGGCTGACCTTCTGGAGGAGCCCTAAAATTCCGACCCCAATGACTTCTTCTTTGTTTTTTTTTTACTAACTTCTGTAACTTCGCTTTGTATCTCAACAAAAAACAATGCTCTTTCTTCTCTTTTTTTTTTAATTAAAATGTTCCAACGCATTGCTTCTCAAATCTCTCTAGGAAGGATTGGGTAAGCCCTGTTTTATATAAGCTTTCAAGTGCAAATTAGACGGATTACGCCGAGAAATGGGCTGATTAGGGCCCAATATATTTAGGCCCATCTGCGTAAGCCCAGAGAAAACCGGATTATTTCATACGCCGAAAAAGAGGGAAGATTATAGAGGTAATTAACGCCATAACCTCGAAAATTTCAATGGAATCGGGACGAAATGTACACGTAATGATATCCCAACGCTTTTCCCATGTGCCCAGATCCTCGTGAGATTCGAAAGACGAAAAAGTTTAAGTTACTACTTTTTATAAAAAAAAAATAAAACTTTGTTCCAAATAATCGCAAGTGTTAATCACTTTTTTTTTTGGTAAGGCAAGTGTTAATCACTTGTTTCCGTGTATGGGAAGAAACTACGACATGACACATAAATCATATAACAACATGACACATAAATCATATAACAATAAAATATGAATGATTTTAACATTTTATAAAGTTCAAAATGGATACGGATCTCTGCTACTGATATTATTCCATTAACTAGCCGATATTAACGGTTTATGCCGCACATTTTTTTTATTATAATTTATACTATGTTCACAATTAATTAATTAAAAAAAAGGTGGGACACGTAAGGACAAGTCAAACGACTCGTCTGGTCTCAGAGTACGACCGAGCAGAGACCACCTGACTGTCCGTCACTTGTTGTCCGTCACCGACCAATCCCCACTCATTTCCTTTGTTCCTTGCATTTCTCGAATTGTACTCAGATATCCAACTCTAATACCAAGCACCTATAATATATGACAAGTCGTCTATAACCCCATGTCCAAAAACAATGGCGTTGCTATTATTATTCTGCATTTACGTCCCAAACCCAACGCATTAATGTCAACGACAAGTGACTCAATTTACGCTTTCAACCCGGACGTGAAGTTGCTATTAACCCCATTTCACTCTCGCTCTTAACCACAGAATTAATTATTATAGTTTATTATCGTCTTTCCCCTTTTTTTACGCTTAAACCTAGAAATTTATCTTCTGGGATTTTCTCCGTCGTCATTTTTTACACTGATTTGTGTATCTTCTCTGCTCTGTTTCCGACAGCGGTGTTCGTGTTTTCATTCGGATCTGCAAGCCCTTCCCGATTTTCTCGGGAAACAAACCGACAAATTTCTGTGGCAGAGCTAGGTTCCTCTGATCGGAGGATAGTCTGATATTTTCTTCGGAGAAACCTGCGGACCCTGATCGAGTTTTGCTGAAAATGTGGGAACTTGAGTAACAGAGGAGTCAGACAAAGCTTGAGGTGATGATCTTTTGTTTTTCTTAAAACACAATGCTTTGTTATTCGCTGCTTTTTTACTGAATGACTTCCCCTGAAGATATGTTTTTCCTTATGATTTCTCCGGCTGTTTTTTATTCAAAAAAATGGACATTTCGAAGGCCGCCATTGCTATATTCCGAGAATTTGTTTAAAGCTGGGTATAATGAGGTGAATTTTCAGGTTGTAAAAAGCTCAGGAAGATTGTAGACTGCAGTTGTGCTCAAAAGTTCTACACTTGTTTCAATGTCATACATTCCTTCCTCTTCAAATCAAATCTACAGCCAAAAAGAATTTGAACGATTTCTCACACTCTAATTGGTCTAGGATTTGCCTAACCATGTCGTCCTCTTGTAGACGCAGCTGAGTCAAAATCTTCAGTTTTGGATTTCCAACTGTCCAAAGAATAAGCTTTCATGCCACACTTATATCATTGCAAGTTTCTGCACATTGTAATTATGCAGGTACTAAGAATGGCTTGTTGAGTGGGGTTGACATTCGAAAACTCCAACTAAAGGAATGGAAACAAGTGAAAGGATTAGCTCGGGGGTTACCTTTATTGGGGCTGAAGCTCCATCGCCTTATCATATGGCCCCGAGGTCATCTGACAACCATACCCAGTTTCCTGGTTCCTCTGATAACCGCAGCCTGTTCCCTGACTCATCAACGTCTCCCATGGACGTCTCACTGGTTAGTGCTGGCTCAGTGAAGAAGAAGAGGGGCAGACCTCGTAAGTACGGAGCTGATGGCACTCCTTTGCCGATATCTCCTAGCCCCATTTCTTCATCCGCTCCCCCTTTGAAGAAACGGGGAAAAGGCCGACTGAATGGTCTTGATATCAAGTTTCACAAGAGGATGGGATTCGATATTTCTGGTAACATCTAATGCATAACATACCACACATTTCTGGTGTGACGCCGAACTATAATACATGCAATCTTATGCAAACCTCTGTCATCTGTTTGGACTCTATAAACCTGCAAAGTTTCTTGATATGCCAAGAACTAGTTCTTTTCTGTTACTCGTATAACACTTGGATCCTTAAACTGCAAAGTTTCTTAAAATGGCAAGAACTTGCAAATGTATTAGCCTTGAGGAGACGTATAGTCGCCAACTTCTTTTGCGAAGAGTTGAGAAATCCTCTTATAGAATTCACAGAGTTTCTTGATAACTCAAGGACTTGCATACACATAGGCTAGGACTTTAGTTCTTTTGTATAAAATTTATTAAGATTCTTGAATGCTTCAGAATGGCGAGTTACTTGATATAGTAAGAACTAGAGCTATATCAGCATAAAAAGATGGCTTGACACTACTTGTAACTTCCCAAACTTCAGTTTGGCAAGCATTCTTCTTAAAGCTAGAAACTTTTGGAAAAACCAAAAATAGCCTAGCTCAAAAAATTCTCTTTGTTTAGACAATGTGTAAAGATTGTGACCTTCTGGGGTTAACTCTTTATTTTGCAGGAGAGGGGTTAGCGGGCAGCATTGGATCGAATTTTACGCCTCACATAATCACTGTGAGTGTGGGTGAGGTATGTAAAAAAAAACATCAGATTTGATAGGACAGTCTTGTCCTTGTTTCATTCTCATAAACAACTCTTTGTTTGGGTGGCGAAGGATATTACTATGAGAGTCATATCATTTTCTCAGCAAGGACCGCGAGCCATTTGTATTTTATCAGCAAACGGGTGGATCTCAAATGTTACTCTTCGCCAGCCAGACTCATCTGGGGGTACACTGACTTACGAGGTTATTGTTCATACTGGAAACTGGTCTGTTACGAGGTTATTGGTCAGATCAGACAACACTTTTTTTTTTCTTCTGGCAGGGTCGGTTTGAGATACTATCACTGTCTGGTTCGTTCATGCCCACAGAAAACCAAGGGACAAGAGGTAGGTCAGGTGGAATGAGTGTCTCTCTGGCAAGCCCTGATGGCCGAGTGGTGGGGGGCGGAGTAGCTGGGCTCCTGATCGCTGCTAGCCCTGTTCAGGTCAGGTGGCTACTACTGATATATCTCTTTCTATATAAAAACAGGTCATGTTGTGTGTGTGGTGTATACATAGGCCCGATAGCCAATAGCGCCACCACAATCACACATCGGTCATCGTATTGCCCCCATTTGGGTAACATGTTGACTTAGATGATCCTTATAGATCAAAGGTGACCATCCACATTGATGGTGTGGTAGATTTTTAGTTGGCCCGACTATAAATTAGTAGATACATGCATGTGATGTAAACATTATTAGGTATTGAGTCCGAAGAAACTGTGGGAAAATGAAGCATCTAAGGTTATGGGGGGCGCTACTTCTAAAATAAAACCCTGATCCCAAGGTTTGTGTATGAACAGGTGGTGGTGGGGAGCTTTCTACCGGGGGGAGAACAACAACAACACCAAGATCACAAACCCAGGAAGCAAAAAGTGGAAAACAGTCACACTCCTTCAACGGTGATGTCCTTTCCTCCCGATAAAGACGAGGCCATGACCGGAAACGGGCAACAAACCTTTCCTCCTGTCTTGTCTTCCTTTGGTTGGGCCAACGGACATGACTCCAGAACTTCTGTTACTGACATTAACGTGTCCGGCTAAATTTCTGATGAACATTTGGTTTCTGATTAAGGCCATGCAGTTTCATGTTAGCGTCATTTCTTCTTGTCTTAATCGTTTGTCCTACTATGTACTTTGTTTTTGGAAAAGATTTCTCCAATTGACCGATTTATTTAGTAATGATATGATACCAAATACATCCTAACTTCTGTCCTGTTATATATATTTATTTCTTATTTTAGTGTAGTATGAGGTTTTAGTTTAATACTTCAATAGGGACTTGGTGTGTGCTTGTTCCTTTTCCTAAAAGCAGTGTGTGGATCAGGGCATGGGGGGTTTTCTATTACAATGAATGGCGTTTATCTCTCTGTTGTCGGAGTTAAGATTTGTTGTCCCAAAACCACTCTCAGTTAAGAAAACAACCCCTTTATTTAATTCCAGTTTTAAACTCCATGCATTTACATTGATATTAAGAAGAAGAAGAAGAAACACTTCAGTTGCCATTACCATATCCACAATAACTGCTACATGCATTAATTCATCTTTAAACCGACCAACATTGTAACATTTCATTCTTAGAAAAAATTAATTCAGTGGTAATTCACCTGAAAAATACAAACGAATCTATAAAACCCTCGCCCATTTCCTTTTCAACTCATCAGCCATATATCCAAGAGGAAAAAAAGAAAGAAAGAATTTCAAACCCAACTCCCATCAATGGGTAATAGAATAATTCTAGTTTCTTGCATTATCCTAAGCATTTATTTTGTCTCAGCAGTGGTGGGAATCCAAACCATAGATGCGGAACATTGGTGCAGAAAAACACCACACACGGGTCCATGTCAATCTCTTGTAGCCCGAGAGCCCATAAGAACGACGGCTCAGTTCGTGGAACTATCCGTAAAACAGACAATAGAGGGAGCCATGCAAGCCAAGAACCGCACCTACTTGTCCCTCGGATCAGAGTTGAGGAACCCACGTGAAAAGGCTGCCTTAGAAGACTGTCTCGAGCTGCATGACATGACCATCCGCAGGCTCAATCAGATCATGCTTTGTCCGACCAGCCATTGCTCCCCGTCCGATGTCCAGATGTGGCTCAGCTCCGCCCTCACCAGCCTCGACACTTGTCTCGTTGGTTTGTCTGAGCACAACGTCTCCGACCACCTCTTGCCCTCCATGTTACATGACATCACATACCTCCTTAGCAACGCTTTGTCGCTGAACAAGGTATTCCATTAATTCTTAACCCCAATCGAAAACAACTTCGCTCGTCATTTTCCTAATGAACGATGCTCTTAACCCGAGGCATTGAATTTGGAAATAGACAATCCATTTGCATGAGCACAAGCAATAATTTGGTCCATTACCGTTTATTTATTTGTCCGTTTTTAATGATAAAAACATAAAATCAATAAAAAATGTTTTGTATGGGATGATAAGGAGGAGGAAGGAAGGTCTACGGCCGGGAAGAGAGGAAAACATGTAGGGCATCCGTCGGAGGATCAAAAGATAGACGCAGTGGTAGCGAAAGACGGAACGGGGAATTACAGGACGGTGAAAGAGGCAGTGGACGCAGCGTCCAGATCGAAGGGAAGCAGTAGGTTTGTGATTTATGTAAAGGAAGGGATATACGAAGAATACTTGTACATCCACAAACATAACCTTACGATTGTCGGCGATGGCATTGGCAAGACCGTCTTCACCGGCAGCAAAAGTTATGGCTCTGGCTATTCCACTTTCAAATCCGCCACGTTTGGTCAGCTCTCTTTATTATTGCTGTATAAAAGACAAGTTATAATTAAGAATAGATATAGATAATTCTTGCGTTGTAAAACAGTGGTGGAGGCGGAAGATTTCTTGGCGAAAGGAATAACGTTCAGGAACACGGCGGGAGCGAAGAATGCGCAGGCGGTGGCTGCGAGGTTGGATGGGGAGAGGGGAGTGTTCTACAAATGCAGCTTCGAAGGATACCAAGACACTCTCTACGTTCACTCCGCTCAACAGTTCTTCCGAGAGTGCGATATCTACGGCACCGTCGACTTCATCTTCGGAAACGCCGCCGCCTATTTCCAGAACTGCCGAATCTTCGCCCGTAAACCTCTCAATGGCATGAACGCCATTACCGCTCACGCAAGGGTCTCTCCCGACGAGCCTACGGGTATCGTCATCCATAACTCAGTCATCTCAGCCGCTCCAGACCTCCTCAAGTCCCCTCGCGGCTCTGTCACCACATATCTCGGTCGACCATGGCGGCCTTACTCTCGTACCGTCATCCTCAACAGTTACCTCGACAGCCTGATCGACCCCAAGGGTTGGCTCCCTTGGGATTCCAACCACACTGTTCTCACCACTCTGTACTACGCTGAGTATAACAACACTGGTCCCGCTTCTGGTACGAGTAAGCGTGTCACCTGGCCCGGTTTCCACGCCATCACTGACTATGCCGAGGCTCGCCGGTTCAGTTTGAGTAAATTTTTCCGCGGTGTTTCTTGGCTGCCGGCGACCAATGTTCCCTTCGACGACAATTAACTTTGTTTACACGTACTAGTTTTTTTTTTCCTTTCTTAACATTATTCGAGGAATAAATGATATGGATGACCAAATTTGCTTTGCAGTAGAACGTAAGCATTGGAATTTATATTTATCATCATCTGTACAAACTACCAATCTCCACATGCTCATAGACATATTTAATTTAAGGCTATTAGACGTTACTACTAAACCATCAGAGCCCATTAAGCATACGATAGACCTATTTAGTAGTCTAAGAACAGAGAGCTGTCTGCATTGGGCCGTTGCCATAAATGGGCAAAGGTCCAGTAATGTTTTAAATCGATTGTTGGATTGGTAGTGCTCAAGCTGCCTACCCCCGCCCGTTGTATATCTCACCAGTGCCCTTGCGTCGTCTGCTCTGGTCAAACCCAGAAAACCGGGCGTGCCTACCGCTAATGTCACTGCCGTTCATGTAAATCACAATCACAGTCAAATTTCACCCGTCCACCACACGGAAAACATGTCTTTTTCTGTTGCAGATCTAAAAGCCCCGTCATATTATCCTGGCCCATTGTCTTGGAAAAGAAAAACTTTTACTATTTCTGGTTTCATTTCTCTGATGGAACTAAAATTTGTTCGATTTTCAGTGAACCCTAAAGTTCAGTTTCTTTGGAGATTCGGGTTTTTTTTTTCCTTGGAGAAATCGGACAGCCTCGGTGGTTTGTCTGGAGTTGGAATCATGACGACCGGCGATCTTGTTAATATCCAACCCACAGAGTTGAAGTTCCCGGGTAAGTTCCTGTCTCCTTGGAAAATCTGCGAGCTTGGGAAAATAAATGGGTTTTTACTGCTTAATGATTCATGCTCACCTGAATGGATTGGGATGGCTATTCATTGATTGGAAGGCCTTTTAGTTTCCATTGTAGAATTTGTTCTCGTTTGTGGCAAAATTGGGGTCTCATTCCCGTTGGGTGCCTTATGAAATTGGAGATAGGGACCGCTTAGGGGAATTCAGAAACAGAGTTCTTCTGTTCAACAAGTTTCCATTGCAAAAGCTTATTAGTTTCTCGTGCGATTTTAGCGGGAGTGGTTCTAGTGATGTAGGAGTTAGCTTGGAAGGAGAATGAGTTCCTCAAAATCTGCAAGTATCTTGGGTCAATCCTTCAAGTATGGGGGTTGCGATGAAGATTTTAGTTACAGGATAAAAAAAAGCGGGATGGATAAAATGGAGACAAACAACGGGTTCTTTGCGATCGTAAGGTTCCTTTACGGTTGAAAGAAAAATTCTACCGTATACCATACCGCCATAAGACTCGTATTGATATATGGTAGCGAATGTTGGGCGGCAAAAGAACAACATATGTCTAAAATGAGTGTGGCCGAGATGAGGGTGTTGAGATGGATGCGCAGACACACAAGGATGGATAGAATTAGGAATGAGACTATTAGAGAGAAAATAGGTGTAATAGGTATAGAAGAGAAGTTAAGAGAGGGACGTTTAAGATGGTTTGGACATGTACAACGTAGGCCGATGGATGCGCCGGTTAGAAAAGTGGAGAGTATAGGAATAGGAGTGAAGAGAAAGAGAAGGGTTAGACCTAGGTTTACTTGGGAACGTGTAATTAGAAACGATTTGGAATTGTTACAAATTCCGAAAGAGCTAAGGCAAAACCGAAATGAGTGGAAACGAAGAATCCATGCGGCCGACCCCAAATAAACTTGGGACTAAGGCGATGTTGATGTTGATAGTTTATCGTACGATCATATGGTTTTGGAGGTTTCATAGCTACGCAATTTGATGGCTTGAAGACGGATTTAGTTTTTCTTGATGGGCGGGGTTTAATGTTGGCTGTTATTGTTTGATGAAGTTGAGTTGAGGAAGCAAAGTTCATGTACGATGCAATTGACCAACAAGACAAACAACTATGTCGCCTTCAAGGTAAAGCCCTCTTCAGCTGCCTTTTATTTTTTCCTGTGATTGATGCTCTCTTCCTTTCTAATCGAGAGACAGGTTAAGACAACTAATCCCAAGAAATACTGTGTTCGTCCTAACACCGGTGTTGTCTCACCTGGAACTACATGTAGTGTAACAGGTAAAGTTGGTATTCTATTGAACGAATCTTATCAATGGCGTTGTTGTTTTAGACGTTTGATCAGTAGCAGGCCTGTTCTGTTAAAATTTCGATAAAAATCTCTCTGCTTAGTAATCATGTAACCTGGCTTGTTTTCGCAAACTATACGATTGAATATTGACTGATGTTAATCGATCAAAGGGTGTCAAGTAAACTGCTAAGTTGAATACATATGTGAAACCATTTGGATATTTGGAGTAAACCCCGATTTTAAGTTGATCCAGTGAAAGAAGGACGTGATTTTGTTAGGGAAAAGAAGAAATAAAAGAGCTCATCTCGTGCCGGTATTTGTTCCAGTTTTGTTGCATTGACTTGGTTTTCTGCTTTAATACCTTTTATGGATCCATTTTTATATGTTTTTCAGTTACGATGCAAGCCCAGAAGGAGGCTCCTCCAGATATGCAATGCAAAGACAAGTTCCTTGTTCAGAGTGTTGTTGTCCCAGATGGTACAACTTCAAAGGACATATTGGCCAACATGGTGGGATGATTGTTTCTGTGTTTGTTCTCAAGATTACATATTTTATTGGTTTACAGATTTCTTTGTAATTGGTTCTGCAGTTCAACAGGGAGACGGGTAAAATAATTGAGGAGTTTAAATTGCGGGTTGTTTACATCCCAGCTAATCCACCTTCGCCAGTTCCTGAAGGATCTGATGAAGGGAACTCTCCTAGGGCATCTGTTAATGAAACTGGCTCTCAGAATGGTTCGTTGTACGATGATGTAAGCTGCTTTGTTGTCGCCCATGTATCATATTTGGATATACGAACATAAGATCTAATTGAGGAATGTGAGTCAACTTATGAAAGTATGCGCAACAAATGTTTTCGGTTCAGGTGTCAAGAACATTAGAAGAAACAAAAGAGAAGTCTTATGAGGTATTTTGCTATCTTTTCAACGATGTGATGGTCTTCGCCTGTCTGCTTAACCGCTGAGATATACATATCGAAGATGTATTTGAGCTTTAACTTCCGTTGACGTTCAGGCATGGTCGGTAATTTCCAAGCTGACAGAGGAGAAGACGTCTGCTATCCAACGAAGTCAGGAGCTCCAACAGGAACTGGTAAGAAAAAAAAAAACACAAATCATTTCACTGCTCTGGAACTTGTAGCTCTTGTATTGTATGTAGTAAAAGTAACTAATGATACTGTTGAGCTGGTTTTTGGAATGTTCATCACCACCTGTGTGGAACAGGAAATGCTAAGAAAGGAGTCGAGCAGGAACAGAGGTGCTGGCCATTCATTGATGTTGGTGGTACTGGTGGGTCTGCTAGGCTGTGTGATTGGATACTTGTTGAAGAGGGCATAAGCTTCTGTTTTTTTCTTTTTAAATGGAGATTATAGGACTGGGATCTCCTTCTTCGTGTAGCACCCTGGTTTGAAGATTCTCGCATCTTTATGGGGTTTTTGCTGATTGATTGAAGCTCACTTTTGAGTGTGTATTCAGCTATCAAGATTCGTCTGTATTCTATTGTTATTGTTGTTGTTTTTCAGAGTGTATGTATTATGTAAAATCTATATCAAGATTTATCTGTATTCTATCGCTAGGGTGATGTACCATTGAATTGGTTTTGGTGGATTGAAATAAAAATAAGTGGGAAGGTGGCGCTTTGGATAATGGGGGAAGGGTGTGGTTATGCGTGCAGCCATAAGCCAGAGATCCAAACAGAGATAACAGCGCAACTAATCAGAGCCACAAAAGGGCAAGTAGAGGAGGGAGGGGCAAAGCCACACATTACAAGGCACAAACAGGTGATAAAGTTGTGCCACCAAAAAGAAGAGGCATCGGGAGAGAAATGGGTATTGTGTCAAAGTGGGTAGTAGTAGTAGTGCTGCTTAGCACAGTGGTAATATGGGCAGAGGGGGAAGCGTGTAAGAGAGACGGGGTCCGGTTGGGAGCGTGTGGGAGCTGGTTAGGAGTGGTTCGAGAGGTCATTGGTACGCCTCCGAGTGAAAAGTGTTGCTCCTTGGTTGGGGGTTTGGCCGATCTCGAAGCCGCCGTTTGCTTTTGCTCCGCCCTCCTTCACTCTAACGTTTTGGGGGTCACTAAGTTTACCATCCCCTCTGCTCTAAGTTTGCTCCTCAATTCTTGTGAGAAGAATATGCCCCCTGGATTCGTTTGTTCTTGATTTTATTTATTTGTTTTTCTTTTTTTAACTGGAATCCATTGGGTCTTGTCTGGTATTAAGTAAACAAAGGTGTCGTGGTGTAGTTGGTTATCACGTCAGTCTAACACACTGAAGGTCTCCGGTTCGAGTCCGGGCGATGCCATTCTTGATTGTGTTTTTTTCCATCTCTTTCTGCGACGGAATGTATGTCCCTTCAGTTATTCTTTTTTGCACACCGTCCATGCCAACTTCATGATTATCACTATCACACACGTACATATGCATATTAAATGCCTTGGATGTGTATGTAGATATTGAGTTTGATAAATGCGAGTAATAAGGCTATTAGGTTAAAAAAAAAAAAAAGAGTTGGGCTGAATCTCTTCATCTGGCGATTGCTTAATGGACCTTCTAGGCCCACACTGCTTAGCTTTATATGCTCATTATTATATATTATGTAAAATGGCGCCCTGACCATTCCATTGCCCAATTGGACCTGTGGGGGTTGTCCTTTCCTTTGCCATGGGCCCAACTAACTCAATCGGAACGATTCTCATTCCGATCCTTAATTACCAAACAAAGTTAAGAAAAAAAAACCCCAGGTTCCTAAATTAACAAAGGTCCTCCTTTTCTCCCCCATAATTTTGACAGACCGAGTATTTATTGAATATCGAGTACTTACCCAAAAACAGTCAACTAATATTAGCCTCACTTCATTAATTACAGCTGCTTTGACTCTCCCCCATTCCCCTCCATTCCTCCGTATGTATGTCAATATATACATACATGTATTTGCAAATAATTGAATTTGGAGAAAACTATCAAAAATAGAAAAACGAAATCTTGAATTTCTTGATCTCCCTTTCTATCCGGAGGAGCTATAAACGCCCACCAAACACCCAGCCTCTCCAAGAAACCAGAAGATTCTCGGACGCCATTATCGCCCATCTCGACCTTCTTGAAGCAGGGATTATTGAACCCTTGGGGAACTGAGATCTAGAGGGAAATCGAACCTGGGTCTGCCTTGGAATCCCTATATTTTCCATCACTTTCCTGGGAAAATCGTTGAATGTCCCCCACATGAAGCAGATGTCGCATCTCGACGATATCCCTTCGACACCGGGCAAGTTCAAGATGGATAAATCTCCGTACTTTCACCGTACCCGGTGGCAATCGTCCGTCGCGAAGCTCGCATTCTGGTCACTTGTGTTCACAGGCTTGATCTTCATCTTCTTCTACCGATCTCCGTCGTCGAATCCCATTTCTTCCATGATATGCTAATAGCGGCAAAGGAATTGAGATCG